CCCCCCACAACCAAAATTTTATTGCAGATTCGGGGTCCTCTCGCCCAGCGCAGAACGACCCCGTTTTCCAAAAAAAAAAATAAAAAATTCTGGGCGGTTTTTTTGCCCGCCCGGTTTACCTGGGCGGCCCCCCCGGGCCCGACCGGCCGGGCAGCGTCCTCACTCAGGTTTTAACTTTCAGGTATTCACAACTTTTCAGTATAACTAGTTCAGTAGATTTTGGCATTTTGCACCTTTTTTTTTTTTTTTTTTTTTTTTTTTTTGAGATTCTCCACTATTCAGGAAGCTTGCAGCTTTTGCTCCCCGCCCTAGCTATGCTTGCAGGGGTCCCCTGTATAGGCTTAGGAGGAGTAGGTATAGGATGGTGAAAGGTGACATTGAGATAAGAATATTATAGCTTTTTTTTTTCTTTTTTTTTTTTAGTTTGCAGCTGTTGAATCATAAAAAACATGGTGAGTTCAAAAAGGTGCCAGAGATTCTTCTCACCTGGACAATGGAAAGAAGAGAATCAAGTCCATCTAGCGAAGATCCTCGTACAGGTACACCGATCACGGGCAGAGGTGTCATTGCCGCCACCATTCCTGGAAAAAGAAAAAAGAAAAAAAAAAGAACCCTTAGTAGACGGTTGCCTCTTCGTCGTTGAGTGAAGATAGGGAGACTTTATGTTCACCGAGAAGAGCCTGAGTCAATCAACTCAATATGTAAATAGCGGATTTAACGGTAAATACTAAATACTAAATTGTCTGCCTTCCAAGCAGGCGAGCGATATGGGTTTGATTCCCATTACCCGCAATTACAACCAAAAGACTCCAAAAAGTACAAATGAGTTTGGAAAACACTTAAAAAGTTACAACTTACAATAAAAAAAGGTAAAAAAATGTCACAATCATGAGGGTTAACACCACCACACACAACCTTCGAAGCGCACATTTTTGCCTGAACAGATGCACACAGGCACAAAAACTGTCAATAAGAGTCTCATTCAAGTTGATTCAACACATCTAGAAAAACCCTGAGTGACGACACCGCCCCGCCGGGCCCGCCCCGCCGGGCCCGCCCTGCCGGGCCCGCCCTGCCGGGCTGGGCCCAGCTGGTTGGGCCTGGGGGGGCCACCCGGGTAAACCAGGCAGGACAAAAAACTGCCCAGAATTTTTTTTTGTTGAAACTGGGGTCGTTCTGCGCTCGGCGAGAGGACCCCGAATCTGCAATAAAATTTTGGTTTTGGTGGGGGGATCGGGAATGGGGG